TTTCGAGGCAAACCGGGATGGCGGTGAAGAGTAGCCCCGGGATGACTTTTGTCATCCACGTGTCACTTTTCATCGGACGCATTCGACGCCTTTGTGTTCCAAAGCTAAGTCATGGGACTGGGGGATGGAAAAAAAAAGAGGGGTTTTGAATCACCGGGAGGGAAATTGAAGTTAAATTAGGGGTGAGGGCTGTATTGGGATAGGCTCCTGAGGAAGGTAAAGTTAGCAGTTTGCTATTCAGCAATCCTAAAACCTTTTGCCAAGCAGGGCAGTTCCAAGCCATCTCCGTGACTTCGGGCCGTCCGCATTATCGGTTCGGCGTGGCGTAGGCCTTTCTCTCTTCTCCACGTTACCGTGGCTCTTTTTACCCCGAGACGTCTCTCTGCGCTCCGGCACGGTCCCCACGGTCTCGATGGTCCCCGCTCGCCGTCTCAGCTTCCGCTTTCGTGCGTCTTCGGGCAGTGAGCGCACGCACCCGGGATCTCGGGCATTCTCGGGTCGGTCATCTTTTGCGACGTCATCCGGGACTTTGGCCACGGAGGCCTTCTCTAGCGATCTGGCTCGATCTCCCGGTAGCGGTTCCTCTCACGCATCACAGGCTTTTCCCGTGCTCTTCTTACCATTTTGGCAGTAACATCTCTTAGCGAGCAATTATGTCGCATTCTGAACCGGGTCTGCTTTAGAGCCTTTTTGCTTTGATGTTGTTGATCTATGGGTTATCTTGCACAGTGAATATCAGGTTCAGGAGGGAAAGCGTCTCTTCTTTTTGGGCGTAGCGAGCGCACTTTCATCTTGGAGATCGTAGGTCATCTTAACCGAGCGACATCGTTCCGGACCGTCTTGGCAACCGTGGCCTCTTACTTTTGGACATTGGGTTTATTCTGGCACTTTTCCATCATTACTTGTTGAGGCCAGAAGATCTGCAGAGGCAGTTCTCACGCATCCTTTCCTAAGTCGGCGGTACTTTTTCGTGGCGATCCGTCACGTTCCTTCGTATTCGGCGCCCTGTGCGTCTCTCCCGGATTTGGCTCGGAGCTGCCCCGCTTGGGGTTATAGAGTCACAGTTAGGTAGAGTAGCAAACAGCATCTACGGTACAGCCCTTTTTCATGGCTCTTTAGGCCTATAAAATCTATAGGGTCGGTTTGGGGCTAAGTCCTAGGTTGCACAGGGCACACTCGAGCATCTCTCCCCTCTTATCTTACAGCCACCCAAAGAAGATTCGGATTCTGGAGGCGAAAGACCGCGTCGGTTTTCCCGGATCGTACGGCAACGGGGACGAGATCGGCGGCAGCGTCGTCGTCGACGGAATCTTCGGAGAGCTCGACGGAGTCCCCGCCCGACGACTTACGGACTACGCCCGTGTAGCGTCCCATATGTTTATTTAGCATTGTGTGTTGCTTCTTAGGTGTAGTTATTGTACTTTGTGAGTAGAGTAGGAAAATTCGGACCGCCGTTTAGGTGGTCATTTATATTGTCTTGTATCGCTCTGAATTGTATACTTATATAGTTGTAGTTGTATTGTTCTGTATCTGAATGTTCTTAGTTCTTGCCCTCTCTAACTTTGCTCTGGCCCTCTCTAGCTTCCCTTGGCTCTGGCCCTCCCTAGCTTCCCTTGGCTCTGGCCCTCTCTAGCTCTGCTTTGCTCGGGCCCTCCCTAGCTCCCTTTGCTTGGCTCGGGCCCTCTCTAGCTCCCCTTCACTTGGCTCTGGCCCTCTCTAGCTCCGCTTCACTTGGCTCTGGCCCTCTCTAGCTCCACTTCACTTGGCTCTGGCCCTCTCTAGCTTACTTCACTTGGCTCTGGCCCTCTCTAGCTCCACTTCACTTTGCTCTGGCCCTCTCTAGCTTACTTCACTTGGCTCTGGCCCTCTCTAGCTTACTTCACTTGGCTCTGGCCCTCTCTAGCTCCACTTGGCTCTGGCCCTCTCTAGCTCCACTTGTCTCTGGCCTTCTCTAGCTTACTTCATTTGGCTCTGACCCTCTCTAGCTCACTTCCCTTCACTTGGCTCTGGCCCTCTCTAGCTTACTTCACTTGGCTCTGGCCCTCTTTACCTCCGCTCCACTTGGCTCTGGCCCTCTCTAGCTCCACTTGGCTCTGGCCCTCTCTACCTCCGCTCCACTTGGCTCTGGCCCTCTCTACCTCCGCTCCACTTGGCTCTGGCCCTCTCTAGCTTCACTTGGCTCTGGCCCTCTCTAGCTCCGCTCCACTTGGCTCTGGCCCTCTCTAGCTCCGCTTCACTTGGCTCTGGCCCTCTCTAGCTCCGCTCCACTTGGCTCTGGCCCTCTCTAGCTCCACTTCACTTGGCTCTGGCTCTCTCTAGATTCCTTCACTTGGCTCTGGCCCTCTCTAGCTTACTTCCCTTGGCTCTGGCCCTCTCTAGCTTACTTCCCTTGGCTCTGGCCCTCTCTAGCTTACTTCCCTTGGCTCTGGCCCTCTCTAGCTTACTTCCCTTGGCTCTGGCCCGCTCTAGCTCCGCTCCGCTTGGCTCTGGCCCTCTCTAGCTCCGCTCCACTTGGCTCTGGCCCTCTCTAGCTCCGCTCCACTTGGCTCTGGCCCTCTCTAGCTCACCTTCACTTGGCTCTGGCCCTCTCTAGCTCACCTTCACTTGGCTCTGGCCCTCTCTAGCTCCCCTTCACTTGGCTCTGGCCCTCTCTAGCTCCCCTTCGCTCTGACCCTCTCTAGCTCCCCTTTGCTCTGACCTTCTCTAGCTTACTTCACTTGGCTCTGGCACTCTCTAACTTACTTCACTTGGCTCTGGCCTTCTTTAGCTCCACTTGACTTTGCTCTGGCCCTCTCTAGCTCCGCTCCACTTGGCTCTGGCCCTCTCTTACAATGTCACATTGTTATGCGTCAAATTCTGTATCTTTGCGCCTGCGTTTTAGTGCTTCTTACATTGTGTCACTTGTATTGCCATGTAATGTTCTGTATGGTATAGTCCTATTTTTGCAGTTGTATTGCTCTGTATGTGAATGTTTTAGGTATTTTCAGTTTGCATGTTATAGTACATCAGATTGGAATTGTATAGCTTAGACTGGCGTGCGCCGTTAGTTGTTAGGGTGGGAGGTGTGGAGAGGGAGGGTGGATGTAGTGTAGGGTTCTAACCTTGTGTTTTTGTGTTTTCTCTTTCAGGTTTTTGTAGGTTTTTAGATTTAGAATAAAAAAACCCCAGCTGGGGGATTTTTTTTTTCCCCCAGCTGGGGTTTTTTTTCCTAGGTCCCGGCCGGTCTGCGAAGCGATGTTCATCGCCAAGGTTTGGGCGCAGACCGTACCGGGACCTGGGTTTTGTCAGGCAGGCGGAGGTTTTGCTTTTCGAGGCCCCTCGGGAACCCCGTTCCCGAGGGAGCCAGCTGGCGTGCGCCGATAGTCCCAGGTGGCTTAGTGGGAGGTTGGAGGTGTGGAGAGGAGGGTGGATGTAGTGTAGAGTACTAACCTTGTATTTTTGTGTTTTCTCTTTCAGGTTTTTGTAGGTTTTTTTAGATTTAGAATAAAAAAACCCCAGCTGGGGGATTTTTTTTTTTCCCCCAGCTGGGGTTTTTTTTCCTAGGTCCCGGCCGGTCTGCGAGGCGATGTTCATCGCCAAGGTTTGGGCGCAGACCGTACTGGGACCTGGGTTTTGTCAGGCAGGCGGAGGTTTTGCTTTTCGAGGCCCCTCGGGAACCCCGTTCCCGAGGGAGCCAACTGGCGTGCGCCGATAGTCCCAGGTGGCTTAGTGGGGGGTTGGAGGTGTGGATGTAGTGTAGAGTACTAACCTTGTGTTTTTGTGTTTTCTCTTTCAGGTTTTTGTAGGTTTTTTTAGATTTAGAATAAAAAAACCCCAGCTGGGGGATTTTTTTTTTCCCCCAGCTGGGGTTTTTTTTCCTAGGTCCCGGCCGGTCTGCGAAGCGATGTTCATCGCCAAGGTTTGGGCGCAGACCGTACCGGGACCTGGGTTTTGTCAGGCAGGCGGAGGTTTTGCTTTTCGAGGCCCCTCGGGAACCCCGTTCCCGAGGGAGCCAGCTGGCGTGCGCCGATAGTCCCAGGTGGCTTAGTGGGGGTTGGCGGTGTGGATGTAGTGTAGAGTACTAACCTTGTGTTTTTGTGTTTTCTCTTTCAGGTTTTTGTAGGTTTTTTTAGATTTAGAATAAAAAAACCCCAGCTGGGGGATTTTTTTTTTTCCCCCAGCTGGGGTTTTTTTTCCTAGGTCCCGGCCGGTCTGCGAGCGATGTTCATCGCCAAGGTTTGGATGCAGACCGTACTGGGACCTGGGTTTTGTCAGGCAGGCGGAGGTTTTGCTTTTCGAGGCCCCTCGGGAACCCCGTTCCCGAGGGAGCCAGCTGGCGTGCGCCGACATTCCGGGGTGTCCGGTGGGTAGTGGATGGGTTGAGGGCTTGTCAGGCAGGTGCAGGTTTGGCTTTTTGAGGCTTCCTGGGAACTGTGTTCTTGAGGGAGTGCTGTCAATGTGTTACTTGTATTGTAACTTGTACTGTAACAGCTTTTGCACCTTGTACCTTGTACTTTGAAATTTAACTTGTAATGTGTAACTTATACCTTGTACTTTGAAATTTAACTTGTAATGTGTAACTTGTACTGTGCAATTTGTAACGTCATTTGTAATTTGTATGTTAAGTAATAAAGGTTTGTAACTAACTTCTAATTTCTAACTTGTGTTTTCTAAATTTTTGTACCTTCTAACTTGTACTCTCTTAGTTCTTGTGCTGTCTAACTTAGTTCTTGTCTTCTCTAACTTCTTGTACTGTCCAACTTAGTTCTTGTACTCTCTAACTTCTTGTACTGTCCAACTTAGTTCTTGTCCTCTCTAACTTCTTGTACTGTCCAACTTAGTTCTTGTACTCTCTAACTTCTTGTACTGTCCAACTTAGTTCTTGTCCTCTCTAACTTCTTGTACTGTCCAACTTAGTTCTTGTACTCTCTAACTTCTTGTACTCTCTAACTCAGTTCTTATACTATCTTAGTTTTTGTACTCTGTTACTTGTACATCTTGTACTTTCTACTTTAGTTTCTCATTTCTAACTTTAACTTGTACTTTCTAACAGCTTATACTTTTTATGTTTTGTAATGCTTAACTAATACTTTTGAACTTGTATTTTACTTTGTAACTTTGTATTTTACTTTGTAACTTGTATTTTACTTTGTAACTTGTATTTTACTTTGTAACTTGTATTTTACTTTGTAACTTGTAACTTGTATTTTACTTTGTAACTTGTATTTTACTTTGTAACTTTGTAACTTTGTAACTTTGTATTTTACTTTGTAACTTTGTATTTTACTTTGTAACTTTGTATTTTACTTTGTAACTTTGTATTTTACTTTGTAACTTTGTATTTTACTTTGTAACTTTGTATTTTACTTTGTAACTTTGTATTTTACTTTGTAACTTTGTATTTTACTTTGTAACTTTGTATTTTACTTTGTAACTTTGTATTTTACTTTGTAACTTTGTATTTTACTTTGTAACTTTGTATTTTACTTTGTAACTTTGTATTTTACTTTGTAACTTTGTATTTTACTTTGTAACTTTGTATTTTACTTTGTAACTTTGTAACTTTGTAACTTGTATTTTACTTTGTAACTTTGTAACTTTGTAACTTGTATTTTACTTTGTAACTTGTATTTTACTTTGTATTTTACTTTGTAACTTTGTAACTTTGTAACTTTGTATTTTACTTTGTATTTTACTTTGTAACTTTGTAACTTTGTATTTTACTTTGTAACTTTGTATTTTACTTTGTAACTTGTAATTCTCAATAAAGTTATAACTTTTATTGTAACTTCTAGTTTGTACTTTGTCTTTTGTGTCTATTTTGCTTTCTCTGACTTAGCTAATTTGAAAAAGCAGAAGTAGGGGGGTGCTGTCGAAGAGCGATCCGGCCCCTAGTGCTGGACTTATTATTTTTCTTCTTTTCTATATATACCTAGTTAATTGGATAATTATCCAATTAACTAGTTAATTAGTTAATCACTTAATTAGCTAATTAACTAATTATCTAATTAACAAATTTTTTTTCGGCGCACCATAGCCAATTACCTTAACGTAGCAATTACACCTAATTATCATATTGATGACCCCACTAATTAATATCTCATTACCATATTGATGACCCCTGTGATTACCACCTAATGAGCATACTAATGACCCCTTTAATGACCACATTAATTAGCATCTCATTAGCATACTGATGACCCCTTTAATTACCACCTAATTACCATATTAATGACACCATTAATGAACACCTAATTAGCATACTGATGACCCCTTGGATTACAACATGATTAGCAAATTCATGACCCCTTTGATTGACACCTCATTAGCATACTGATGACCCCTTGCATTAACACCTCATTAGCATCCTCATGACCCCTTTCATGAACACCTAATTAGCATATTGATGACCACTTCCATGACCACCCAATTACCATATGGACTACCCCTTTAATGAACACCAAACTACCACACTGATTGAGCCAGACTAACCCTAAAAATGAACCAAGTACCCAATCACTCACCCTAACCCTAAAACAACAGTACCAAAAAACACACCCTAACCCTAACACCCCTTTACCAAAACCCTAACCCTAACCTTAAGACACCCAAACCCTAACTCTAACCCCAACATCCAATTCCCAAAACACACAGCCTAACCCTAACCCTTTACCATAACCCTAACACCCCTTGACCAAAATCGTAACCCTAACCCTAAGACACCCATACCCAAACCCTAACCCTAACGCAAACACATATTTCCAAAAACACTCACACAAACGCTAACACACCCTAAGACACCCATACCCTAACCCTAACCCTAACGCAAACACATATTTCCAAAAACACTCACACAAACGCTAACACACCCTCACCCTAACCCTAACCCAAACCCTAACACCACATAACCCTAACCATAACACGCTTTATCAAAGCATTCTCCTAAGCCCTAACAGGGTTTTAGG